CCCCGGGTCTGCGTCCCCGCTCCCGGGTGGGGCGGCCCTGAGCAGGGGACGGGCCCTGGCGTGCAGCCCGTGCGCGAGGACCAGGAGCCCGCAGCAGCGCCCAGCCGGGCACCCAGCCAGGCCAGGACCCTCCCGGCGCAGATCGGCCGCCTGCGGCTCCCAGCGCGGCGGGGTGCGCCCTCTGGTGGCCCTCGGGACAGGGAGCAGGGGACTGGAGAGCTGGGTGGGAGTTGGGGGCTCCCAGGCCTCCCGACCCCCGAAGGGCGCCGCCGCCGTGGTCTCCGCTCCGGGAGGAGAAGGGCGCCTTTGTGCCTGAGGCTCCCAGCGGCCGGGAGGGGCCGCGCCCCAGGGTCCTCTCCCGAGCACAAAGCGGGGATTGAGGCCGGGGACTCGGGGTGGACGCAGGAGCCATGCTGGAGCTGGCGGCAGAGCTACTGTGCCGTCCTGCGTGTCCCCGCAGGAGCCTGAGGGCTGGGACGGTGTCAGAGGAGGCAGAGCCGGGTGCTGCGCGAGACCCGGGGTCCCAGCCGCCCGCACCCTGCTCTTGTCACTCCCAGCTGGTCTTGGAGAGCGTCCCGGGCACCATCTGGGGCGCCTTGCTTTCTGCGGTCCCCCTCGTGGTCCGCCGCACGGATGTCACAGCCCTCGCCACAGGGAGCCCTAGGACCTGCTGATCCTGGGGTCTGGGGGGTGTCAGCTGGGGGGGCAGTCAGGGCGCCTCCTGCAGAGCGCCTGCTTCTGGCCTCTGTGGCCGGCCCTCGGACCCGGAGCCTGTCATCTGCCAGCCTTCTCTCCACGCCAACCCGTGGTGTTCCCTGGTTACGCACCCTGAACACCCGCACCGCGGCGTCCCTCACTGGAGAAGGGACACGCTTCCCCCTCAGGGAAGCTGTTCGGCAGGAATGCCCTGGAAACACAGCGGTGGAGAATTTCCAGGCGACCCCAGGGACCAAGCCCGCGCCCCGACAGGGCTGTCCCCACCTGGATGCCCGCAGAGCCTCCTGCCAGACAGTTGGCAGGGTGAATGGAGAGCACTGGCCAGGCCAGGCGTCCCGCGCTGCCTCGGCTGCATGCCCCCGGGTGCCGGGGGTGCCAGGCCCCCGGGTGACATTGGCACCGTCCGTGAGCTGCCCTCACCCCTGTGCTCCAAGACCGACCACGAGTCCGGGTCCGACCCGTGAGAGCTGGGGATGGTGGACACGTGCCGAGCAGAGAAGCAGTCCCCGTGTCCTGGCCCCGGGCCCTCCTGGGGGCTGCCCGTGTGGCGTGGGGAGTACACAGACTCACGGGGGCTCGGGAGAGCTGGCGGCCGCCCGGCTCTGGACAGGCAGCCTGTGCAAGGCAGGGCCGGCTCAGACCGGGCGCCCAGTGGCGCTGTCTGCCCCGGGCTCCCGAGGGCACCGAGCACTGGCGGGCTGTGCGTTTTGACGGTGGACAGGAGCCTCCGTGACGCTGAAGCCCAGCGGGAGGGACGGGGTGGTGCAGCGAGCACACAGGCTCACCCTGAGCACCCAGGGGCCTTTGCCTGGCACGGGACAGCTGCCCCACCTGGGCTGCCTGCCCTGCATGCCCAGTTCCCTTCCACCCCTGGATGCCCCGGACTTGGCACCTCTGCTTCCCGCGTGAGTGCTTCCCCGGGGCTCATCACCACCAGCCCAAGTGTCACCCAGCACGACCTCGCTGAGTGCCGCACATCGCAGCAGCCGCAGGGCTGACGCTGACTAGAGGAGCCGTGCTCCTCACTGGCTGTGTGGCTGCCAGTCAGTGCCCGACCTCTCTGTGCCTGCTTTCTCCTCTGTAAGATGCCCTGTGTGAACACCTGCGTGTGCTGAGCTCAGGGGGACCCTGACACCCCTTGCATCCCAGCTTTGTGGTAGGAAGGGCTAGGGGCTGCCTCCCCCAGGTGCTGGGCTCTGGATAGACGGCAGGACGGGGGCCTGTCCGTGGCCTCAGTGCCCGGCATAGCGTACACAAAAGGACAGGCAGAGGGAGCGCGGGCTGGGACGGGGCTCCCCCAGCCAGGTGGGGTTGGCCCCAGCACCTTCACAGGGCCCTTGTGGTTGTCAGCTCCAGCACCGGCCAGGCTTGCGTCCTGGGCAGGTGACGTGGGGGCTGGTGGTGGCTGGAGGCCACGAGTTGTGGTTTGGTAAGGGTCTGTAGCTGTGTGGTCACTTTGCCCGGCCCTGTGGCTGCGTCTGAGCCTCAGTGTCCTCATCTGTCGGGGGGCGATGCCCCTGCCCCAGGGCACAGTGGGGTGGGCGTCGGCCCAGCGGGGCTGGTGGCCAGGGACCAGGAAGCCGGGGGAGATGGTGCAGTTGCAGCTGAGGCCTCACTTGCTGTAAATTTGCTGAAATCACAGAAGGGATTGATCCTGCGTGCATCGCGGCTCGTTAGAGCTGTAAAGAGACGCGTGTCGTGTAGGTGGTGATCAACAGGGCCACAAGCCCGGAGCCTGGGGCTGACGTGGAGGGGGTGGGGCGTGAATGACGTTCGTCTATGCCAGCAAGTGAGGATCCCCCTGCCTCGGCCTCAGTGACCCTGTGACCCTGCCCCCTCCCCCCACTGCAGAAGCCATAGGCACAGGGGCATCATGGCCACCACATGGTGGGCTCCTGCCCCTCCCCAGGGCCTTCTGGAAGGTTCACCCCGCACACACACAGCCCGCCTCCTGCAGCCTCCGTTGCCCTGGAGACAGCGGTCGTCTCTGTGGCGACAGCAGGGAGGACCGCGGGCAGTGAGCCGGCGGGACAAGGTGCATCAGGACGGCCATCCCTGTCCTCTAGATGGGGCTGGCTGGGCACCAGGCAGCAGGAGGCGGCAGTCACCTCCCAGGGCCACCTGCTGTGGGGGAGTGGCCCCTGCGGGGCCCCAGGCATCAGGTGGCCTGTTGGGGTGGGGTGAGCCGTTGTCCCTGACCAGCCCGCGCCCACTGGGGGTCTGTGTGTCCTGCCCTGGGGCATGGTGTGGATGTAGCCCCATCTGTGTGTCCACCTGAGCCAGCGCGGTCAGGGCTCTGGCCCCTGGCCCCCACCCATCTGCGCCCAGGGTCCCAGAGGGACAGTACATCGTGCGGGGCATGGGGCCCGGGCTGTGGGGGATGGGTGTGAGCTGGGACGGAGGCCCCAGACCCAGCCACCGGCTGTCGCTTCAGCGCGTGGGGCCCGGGCTGACGGAGGCCCTGCTGGGTGCCCGGCTGCCTGCTCTGGAGCCCTGTGCGCAGGACGGGCTTGCTCCTGTCAGGTCACGCAGGGTTTTCCTGGAGGGGAGCTGGGCCCTGCCACTCCACCTGTCGCCCACAGGCTGTGGGAAGGAGAGAGAACGACCTTCTAATGCTCGGAAAGAAAACCACAGAATCAGAACTGTAAAACATTTGCAAAACTCCAGAAAAGCGTGTGGAGCCTCGTCGCCCACCTCTCACGCGGCATCTGCCTGTGGGCGCCCGGCTCCTGGGCCAGGATCCCGGCACGCGCAGTGGCCTCTCTGTCACCAACAGCGTGGTGTGCTTGGCCGCTGCGGACCCCCGAGCCAGAGTGGGAGGGGCGGGCTGGACAGCGCTCAGAGGCGCCTACAGGGTCCCCACCACCCCCAGTTCCACACACGCCCCAGGGTGAGGGAGCAGGGCCCGCTGGGGGCCTCCGCTGCCTGGCAGGCCACGGGCAAACCACCCAGGCCACCTCCTGGCCTGCGCCGCTTGTCCTGAGGGGGACAGTGGCCCTGTCCCCACTCCTGGGTTCAGCGTCCCAGCACTCAGAGTCCTGAAGGCTGGGCCCCACGTGCCCAGTCCTGCTGGTCCAGATGGGGCCAGGGACGGGGCTCAGAGCACCCTGAGCCCGCTGAAGCCCCCATCTGCTGACTGGGGTTCGCTGGCCTGCCCAAGGCTCCCCAGCACCAGGCTAGCGCCTGGGCTTTCGCCGCAGCCCAGAGCGCCCTCTGGTGGCTGAAGAGGCTGGAGCCGGCCAATCCTAGCCCTCAGCTGCTGGGCACCTGCCCTGGGGGAGGATCCTGAGTTCCAGCTCACCCTGAGTAACTGCTGGGCGTGGTGGTGCACGCCTGTGATCCCAGCACTGCGGAGGCTGAAGCAGGAGGATCACTGTGAGTTCAAGGCCAGAGTGGACCTCAGACCCTGCCTCAGAAACAAAAGAGCAAATAAACATGCCCTGGGTTCAGTTCCCAATACAAAAAAAACCAAGAAAGACTTTTTAAAAGTTCTTTTATTTCTTTGAGACAGGGTCTTACTGACCTGCTAAAGTGCACCACCACCCCCCCCCCTCCGGCTGGGCTTGAACTTGCAGTCCTTCTGTCTCCAGCTCCCAGAATGCTGAGCTTGCGGAGCTGCACCACCACATCCAGGCAGCTTCACTGTCTTAAAAGTGCCCTGGGCATTTCGCTGCCCCAGGAGTGAGGTGGGGCAGTGCCTCTCTGAGTAGTACAGGCCGTGCGCTGCAGCAGCCCACCCCTACCCAACAGGCTCCAGGTAGATTAAAAGCCTACACAGGGCTTCAGGAAGGGGCCCGCTGGGGCTGGGCCAGGGTGTGGGCTCCTCCCCCAGGGGACGCTCCGGGCCCCTCACTCTGCTCTCTGCCCTAGGAGTGGCTGAGCAGATTCGGCTACCTGCCCCCAGCAGACCCGGAGAGCGGACAGTTGCAGACGCAGGAGGAACTGTCCAAGGCCATCTCCGCCATGCAGCAGTTTGGGGGCCTGGAGGCCACCGGAGTCTTAGGTCAGTCCTGTGCCCCCACCCCAGTGGGTCAGGGCCAAGAGCATGAGCCTCACCCAGGCCTGAGCCGAGCCACCTGCCCGCTGCTCCCCTGCAGACGCCGCGACCCTGGCCCTCATGCGGACCCCGCGCTGCTCCCTGCCGGACCTGCTCCCGGCAGCCCCGACACGCAGCAGGCGCCAGGCCCCGGCCCCGACCAAGTGGAGCAAGCGGAACCTGTCCTGGAGGTGGGTGGTTGCTGCCGCGAGGCCGTCGGGCTGGGGTCCAGGGTTGGGGTGCAGGCAGGCGGCTCCGGCGGGGCCCCTCCGTCTGCTGTCTCTGCACGGGGCACCTGCACAGCTGCAGGGGAGACTCACAGACGCCGGCCGGTCCCTCCTGCCCTGCGCGGGCTGCAAGCAGAGGCCTTGGGCTGCTGGGGCCCCAGGCGCCCGCCCAGGCCGTGTGCCCGGCTGAGCCCGGCCCTCCCCAGGGTGCGCACGTTCCCGCGGGACTCGCCGCTGGGCCGGGACACGGTGCGGGCTCTCATGTACTACGCGCTCAAGGTGTGGAGCGACATCGCGCCGCTTGACTTCCATGAGGTGGCGGGCAGCGCGGCCGACATCCAGATCGACTTCTCCCGGGCCGACCACAACGACCGCTACCCCTTCGACGGCCCTGGCGGCACCGTGGCCCACGCCTTCTTCCCCGGCGACCACCGCGCCGCGGGGGACGCCCACTTTGACGACGACGAGGCCTGGACCTTCCGCTCCTCGGGTGTGTGGGGGAGCGGGCCTGTGGCCCCTCGGAGGGGCGCCCCGCGGGCCTGTGAGGCCCAGCAGCAGCCGGGGCTGGGACCTAGGTCTGCCATCGCTGGGCAGGGCTGGCTGAGGAGCTGAGCGCCCCGGGGTGCCACAGGGAGCCGAGCTAGACACCCACAACTCAGGGCCATGACACTCATTTGAGTCCACACCTGGAGTCTGAGCGGGGCTCAGGTGGCTGCAAAGCCTGAAGCGCCACCTGGTGGCCTTGCGAGGAAAAGGCAGCCCGTTGTGGTGCACACCTGTCATCTCAGCACACTGGGAGGCTGAGGCAGGGGGATCACGAGTTTGAGCACAGCATGGGCAACTTTGCAACTTAGCGAGACTATGGGGCTGGGGATTTAGCTCAGCGGCAAAGCACCTGCCTGGCGAGCACAAGGTCGTGAGTTCAGTTCCCAGTACCAGAGAAAAAACCCCAAAAAAAAAAGGCAAAGCAACTTAGCGAGACTAGATCTTAAGGAAGGCTGGGGACGCAGCTCGGTGCGAAACCCCTGGCTTCAGTCGCAGGACTCAGAACCAAACCGAAAACACAGAAAGATGGTCCCCGCTGCAGCAGGACCAGGGAAGCTGCCAAGAGCCACACAGCTGCGGGGGCCCAGGGTGAGACCCGGCACGCTGGCGGCAAGGGGCACGGCCCCGCGGCTCACGTGTCCCTGTCCCCAGATGCACACGGCGTGGACCTGTTTGCAGTGGCCGTCCATGAGTTCGGCCACGCCATCGGGCTGGGCCACGTGGCAGCCACCGGCTCCATCATGCAGCCCTACTACCAGGGCCCCGTGGGCGACCCGCTGCGCTACGGACTCCCCTACGAGGACAGGGTGCGCGCCTGGCAGCTGTATGGTGAGCGTCCCCACCTGCCCTCGGCCCGGGGACGCCCCGCAGGCCTTGATACTGACCAGTCCAAGGCAAGCGCGGGCCTGAGAGTCCAGCCCGAGCCTGGGCTGCTGGGCCCATGTGCCGCAGGATAGTGGAGGCACCGGGACCTCATGAGGGATGGCCCTCAAGGGTCAGAGGCAGGACAGCCCCTTAGGCAGGTACAAAGCCAAGAGTCCTGCCGGGAATGTTGGCACATACCTGTAATCCCAGCACTCAGGAGGCTGAGGCAGGAGAATCGCCCGAGGCCAGCCTAAGCTCCATAGCAGCGCCTTGTCTCAAGGACGAAACCCAAGTTTCCAGCAATGCCCAGCCAGGGCCCCTCCGCTGTGACACCCAGGACTTAAGGCTGACAGCCCCGCATGCCCTGTCCTTGGCTGTGCTGGGTGCCCACCCCGGCACCCCCGTCTGTCCCCCAGGTTCCTCTGCGTCCCCCTGACGTTCACGCCCTGCCTTGATGGTCAGGTCCACCTGGGCACAGAGGCGGGTCCCCCGCTTTGCGAGCGCCTCCTGTCCAGCCAGGGCCTGGGCACCCCCGCCGTGGTGGTGCCCACCACACCCTCCGCAGCCCCAGAGCCCGCTGTGGGGTAGGCAGTCATGCAGCGTGGCCCGTGTGTGTTCCAGGATCCTCCACACCAGGGGCTGCTGACCCCTGCATCCCTGCTCCACACCCGTGCCTGGCGCTGCCCTGTGCCGTGGGTGGCAAGCATGGAGCCCATCTGCACCACCCGCTCCTGGCACCCCGGCTTCTCCCAGGCAGGGCGGGCATGGTGGTGGCTGGGGCTGGGCACCCTGTCTGTCTGGGGCCCGCCCTACACTCAGGTCCCCGAGGTGCTTGCTCAGTTCTGAGGCTGGGCGGGTACACAGTGCCCCATGCGCCCAGGATGTGCAGGGCTGGGTCAGCGCCTCCTCCTGTCTCCCCAGGAGTGCGGGAGTCCGTGTCCCCCACAGCACAGCCGGACGCCCCCGAGCCCGAGGAGCCTCCCCCGCTGCCAGAGCCCCCTGACAATCGGTCCAGCACCGCGTAAGCTGCAGCCCTGTCACAATGTCCAAGCCTGCCTGTCCCCGGGGAGGGAGGCCCAGCCCAGGAAGCTGGCTTCCCCAGACCTCGCCCTCACTTGCTGGCCTGGGCCGGCTCTTTTGGTCCCTGCCGGTGGGCGTTGCGTTGTCCCTGACTTTTCTTCTGAATTTGGTGCGGGCGGAACCCAGGACCCACATGCTGGGGAAGCGCCCACCCTTAAGCCCGCCTGGCCAGCAGGTCTGGCCCTGGCACTGGGTTCCCTGCCTGTGCCGCCAGCAGCCCAGGGGCAGAGCCTGGTGCAGCCACGTGCCTTCCTCCAAGAAACCCATGCTGGGGCTCTCGGGCCCTGCCCTGCCCTGCCCTGCCCTGCCCAGTGCCTCCTCCACATCTGTCTCCAAGCCGGGTGCCCGCCACCCACGCCCTGTGCCCTGCAGGCCCCAGAAGGACGTGCCGCACAGGTGCAGCTCCCACTTCGATGCAGTGGCCCAGATCCGCGGCGAGGCCTTCTTTTTCAAAGGTCAGCAGCAGTGGAGGGGAGGGGCAGCCCGGCCACTGGCCCCGCGCTGCCCGGCCCCTCTCTGTCCCCAGGCAGGTACTTCTGGCGGCTGACGCGAGACAGGCACTTGGTGTCCCTGCAGCCGGCGCAAATGCATCGCTTCTGGCGGGGGCTGCCACGGCACCTGGACGGCGTGGACGCCGTGTACGAGCGCACCAGCGACCACAAGATCGTCTTCTTCCGAGGTGGGTGGGCACCACGTCCCTCCCCGGCCTCACTGCAGTGGCCACAGCGGCAGCCAGGAGCCCAGTCCAGACGTGTACTGAGCAACCACTGCACACCTGGCCCGAGCAGGCCAGGCGGGGCCGAGGGGCGGAAGGCGCACATCTGTGCCTCCCGCAGGGCACGGCGGGCAGCACAGCTGGGGTGGGCATGCGGCCTCTGCCTCGGTCCCCACTTGAGGGCAGCCGCATGGCCTGGTCACCAGGTTCTCGCCCAGCTTTATCCGTATCCAATTCTACGTCCAGGGTGGAAATGCAGAGGTGGGAGGTGGGCAAGGGCCAGCCACCTGGCCCGCTCGGGCAAGAACCAAGACATTCGACTCGCTGCTGGGGCGGGGGCTGGGGCAGCGTGGGCACCAGGTGGGTGACGTGGGCGTCCGTGTCTCCCACCCAATCCTGAGTAAGGACACTGGAGACCCCATCCCCTCTATCGCTGCGGAGGTGGGGCATTGCTGTTGTCTCCGGGCCTCCTTGCTGCCTGCCCTGCGGGCTTTACATCAGTGCCGATCCCTCTGAGGAGCAGGAAGTACCATGCCCTTTCCATGCCACACAGATCGCCTGCCCAGAGCAGCCGCTGTGGTTCCTGCAAGCATGCCCAACCCCGCGGGCCCTGGCTGTCCTGATTTTCTGCTTTTTCCTGGGCACTGCCCTGCCCCTTGCCTTGTCTCACCTGCTATATCTGAGGACTGCCTCATGTCCCTCACAGAACCTCCTTGCTGGGCATGGTGCATACCTACAATCCTAGTACTCCAGAGGCTGAGGCAGGAGAGTCACCAGGAGTTCCAGGCCAACCTGGGCAACTTAAGAGAGTTCAAGGCCAGCCTGGACTACATAGTGAGACCCTGTCTCAAAAAAATACAAACAAAAAAAGAGGCTCTGGTCAAAACTATTTTGGAGCCAGGTGTGGTAAGGTACTCCTGTAATCCCAGCATTCTGGCAGGCTGAGGCCGGAGGATCACAAGTTTGATCCCACCCTGAGCAACTTAGCGAGACCCTGTCTCAAAAATGAAATAAGCGCTGGAGTGCAGCTCGGTGCAGACTCCCAGGGCTCAGTCCCTGCTCTTGCAGAACAGATGGTTTGGAGAAGAAAGAATTGCAGTGAAGAAGCGCAGGTGGCGCAGGCCCAGGCCACACGCACCCGCTTACACACGCCACGCCCTGGCGAGGCCCGCAGACCTCGTGGCTCACTGCTCCCAGACCAGAGGGGACTCCCTAGGCCACACGTGGTGACAGGCACCCACATCCTGTGCAGACCCCGCGGAGCCACCCCCCCGGGCCACGGGGATCCCGTGGCCTCTGTTGTCTCCTGGAGCAAGCGGGGGTGGCCGGGGTCCTCTCTGCCCATGCCGGCGTGAGCGCAGGCTCTCCGGTGGCCAGGGTTCCTGGGGGAGGCCGGGCCTGTGAGCGCCCTGCCCACCGCTGTGCCCGGCAGCGTCTGCTCACTCGGTGTCCTTTGCTGAGGACCTCGGGGCACCGTCCGCTCCACCCCCCATCTCCTCCCTTTTCAGGGACCCGCGGCCGCAACCTCTGGCATGGAGCTGTTGAACTTTTTATCTTTTTTATTCATTTACTTATTTGCTGTGCTGGGGACCGAACCCAGGGCCATGCCAGGCGAGTGCCTGCCCTGAGCTGTCCCCCAGGCCCTTTCCGTTCTCGGGTGTGGTCAGGAAGGAGGTTTCGCATGTGAACCTTTTTGTTAGGGTTGCTGTCCTGCAGCCGCGGGGATGGAGCCCAGGCTTCACCCAGCCAGCACGCGCTCTGCCGTGAGTCGCACCACAGCCCCTATTTAACGTGAGACGAGGTCTCCTAACGTGCCAGGCTGGCCTCCAACAGGTGATCCTCTCGCCTCAGCCTCCTGAGTAGCTGGAAAGACAGGCGTGCAGCATTGCGCCTGGTCATTTTAACCACTTGAAGTGTGTAGTTCAGGGCAGTTGGGCACATCTGGTGCCATGCAGCTGGCCCTGCCACCCACGCATGGAGCTCTTTTCTCCTCCCATGGAAGCTCAGCCCTTTGACCTGAACTCCCCCGATCCTCCCCTGCTTTCTTTCTGATGGGCTGGAGGGGGTGGACCCGTGCGGGGGTCACGCAGATGCATGCTCCACAGTCGCCCCGTGTGGGGTCAGGACATGCCCTCCTCCGTCCCCTCACCCTCCCACACACTGGCTCCAGGCTCTGCAGAGCTCTGCGTGCCGTGCAGGGCCCTGCCCCTGCCCACTTCCTGCGGCACCACCATTAGCGTCCTGGCTCCAGCCCTGGGCTCGGTGGGGTTCACTGCTTCCCGCTGACCAAGGCGCTAGGGACTTGCCCCACACTCGCTGGCTGCTGGGACCTCTTGCTGGGTTTGGCGTGTTTCCTGGTTTTGTGAGACGGTCTCACTGTGCAGCCCAGGCCAGCCTCAAACAGCCTCTGGGGTGCAGGTAACAGGACGTCTCTTCCAGAGACGCCCAAGGTTTTGTCCAGCACGCGGGCAGCGGGGCCCCTGCCGTCGCTGTCCCCGGGTCCCCCCGAGCCCCATGAGCAGCATCCAGAGCAGAACCAGGGTCCTAGGCGATGGACTGGGTTCTATCCCTGTGCCCATGGCGGGCACACAGCAGGCACTCAGTACCCATCCAGGAGGACTCAGCACTGTGACACGAGCACTGGCACAGCCTGAGAGCGGGAAGTCTGGGGAGGTGGATGGCCGAGCCTCAGCGCCCCTCGCCCTCTCCTTCCGCAGGAGACAGATACTGGGTGTTCAAGGACAACAGCGTGGAGGAGGGGTACCCGCGGCCCATCTCCGACTTCAGCCTCCCTCCAGGCGGCGTGGACGCAGCCTTCACCTGGGCCCACAATGACCGCACTTACTTCTTCAAGGACCAGCTGTACTGGCGCTACGACGACCACACGCGGCGCATGGACCCCGGCTACCCCGCCCAGGGCCCCCTGTGGAGGGGGGTTCCCAGCCGGCTGGATGACGCCATGCGCTGGTCGGACGGTGAGCGCCAGGCCATGTGGGCGCCGCCACGCTGCAGGCTGCGGTTCCCGAGCCCCAGGACCACTTGCTCCCCTGGGCTTCTCAGCCCTGAGACTTTCAGGAAGGATTTCCACAGATGCCGCCCTGCCTCCCAGCCCTGCTCAGAGCCCTCCTGGGCCCCCAAACCAGAAACTCCCCCTATAGTCAGCTCCACCAGCCCAGGAAGTGTCATCTCCAGTGCCACCACACTGGGCCCGGGGCAGGTCCCTGATAAAAACCCAGTAGAGCCTGGCATGGTGGCGCACACCTATAACCCCTGCACTCAGGAGGCTGAGGCAGGAGGATCATTAGGAGTTCAAGGCCAGCCTGGGTTACATAGTGACCCTACCCTGCAACCGGCTTCCCCAGGCAGGCCCAGCCTGAGTCAGTCTGTGACCACACTGGCCCCAGCCCATGCCGTCCAGGTTGTCTTGGGGTCCCCGCAGCTGTCCAGGGCTGTCCCCTCGGCACCCGTGGCTCACCACCCCTCTCCCGCAGGGGCCTCCTACTTCTTCCGCGGCCACGAGTACTGGAAGGTGCTGGATGGGGAGCTGGAGGTGGCGCCTGGATACCCACAGCCCACAGCGCGGGACTGGCTGGTGTGTGGGGAGCCGCAGGCTGGCGCAGGTGCAGACAGGCCGCCGGTGGGCCCTCAGGGCCGCAGCGGGGCCCAGGATGGCCTGGCCGTGTGCTCCTGCTCGGCTGCCGGGCGCACGCTACCCCTGCTGCTGCCGCCACTGCTGCCCAGTGCGCTGGGTGCCCTGGCCCGGGCCCCCTGAAACCTGTGTGAGGGACACAGCCAGTGGCTGCCTCCAGGATGCCAGACCGGCCTTGTGTGCCCCGTGCCCTTTCTCCCTGGGTGCACTCGACCCTGGCACTGCCTGGCTTCGCTGCGCCTCAGCGCCAACCCCTCGTGGCCCCTGGGGTCCCCATCCTGGGGTCACGGCGAGGTGGACCAGCTGAGCCGGGCAGGGAATGCAATTCCCACCCACTGCAGGCAGAGGGCACGCACGCATCCCTGCCGGGGTGGCTGCTAACAGCCCCGCAAGCTTAAGACCCACTGCAGCCGTGGAGCCTGCGAGTCCTCAGCGCCCATCCCGTGGGGGACCCTCCCTCCATGGCAGGGCCCCGGCTTCCTGTGAGAACCCCTGCTGGGCCACCCGCCCCCGGTGGGGACGGCGCCCCCTCCCTGGCCACAGAGGGGTTTCCAAGCCCTGGAGCAGGAGCAGGGTCAGAGGAAGGCGAGGGCCCAAGCGAGCAGAGCCTCAAGTCTGGGACGGGATAGGGCTGACCCCGGGAGGCACTCCCTGCCCGCGCTGGGCCTAGGGGAGCAGGGCCCACGCTGGCTCCAGGCTCTGCAGAGCCCGGGCAAGAAGCCAGGCTGCAAGTGACTGGCACCGTCCAGAGCACCGAGAGATGAGTCCTCAGCAGGTGGCCTTGGGTGGGCCGATGGGAGGGTGGCCACCGGAGGCCCTGCGTGGGTGGGCGGGGGCAGTTCCATGCGTGACGCGGGTCCACATGCACCCGCTCTTCCGGGGAGAAATGTGTCTACACCCGCTGGAGCCCCACGCCTGCTCTGGCAGGCAGGGCTGCAGCCCCCCTCGGCCCGTGTGAGACCCCATCGGGACAGCACCTCCCCGCCCTCTGCCCACACGCGGTCCCTGCCACGTCCAGAGCTGCTGGGCAGGTGCCCTCCGCGCGGGAACAGGGCCCGGCGCTGCTTTGTCACGTGGCCAGAGGAGCTCTGTGGCTTGCAGGCCCAAACCCTAATAAAGTTTTCTACCAGCCGGATGCCCCTGTGGCCAGGGTGTCATGCCTGAGGCTGTGGAGCCTCACCTCGCCCCGAGGCGGCCGGGGGCTGGGCCTTGGCGGTCCCTGTCTGGTGATACGATGCTGCAATGCGCAGTTTCCTCTTGCGACGTCTAGCAGAGCATGCAGTGCCCAGACTCCTTGCCCGGCCACGATGGACACACACCAGGCTCCTGCCTCTGCCCCCAGCACGTCCTCCAAGCCCACGGGAAATGGAGGGCGGCGGCCGGGCGCCTCCCCTCCCAATCACGTGCCCCTGGGACGGCCACTGGGTGACGCGTGGTCTGCCACGTCCCCCACCCCGTGACCTTGGCACCCGTGAAGGTCGTGGGCTGGCAGCCCCTGGTCTCCTTGGGCTCTGCTGCGCTGGGATGACGGGCACCAGGCGTCACCACGGGATCGGGCACTGGGCCTGCAGGAGTTAGGGGCTCCCCCCAGTGGGCTGGCCAGGCACACGCTGGTGACCCAGCCTGGGGGAAAGGACGCGTCCCCCATGCGGGGCTGGAAGGCCCGTGGGGCGGGGCCCATCCACTCCGCTCCTTGTCACGGGGATCCCAGGCATGGCGTCACGCGCTGGTCAGGCCAGGGCAAGGGGAAGACACTGCCCCACTGGCCCACTGCAGCCAGGGCAAGGGGAGGCGTCCGTCCCTCGTGCACAGGTCCCTGACGGCACGGTCCAGCAGGACCAGGAGACCCTCCAGGTGCCAGCCACAGCTGCCGCCCCCCACGTGCAGGGCGGCCTGGTCTGGGCGCAGCAGCCGCCGCCGTGTGGCCGCTGTCCCCAGCCTCTCTTCGCCTCTGCCTCACACCTCTGTCCCTGCCCCCATCCCGGTCCCCGTCCCTGCCCTTGGCTCCCAGGCGGGGCTGTTGAGGCTGCGGGCCAGTGGCTCCTGTCTGGGCTGCACCACTGGAAGACTTCAGGTTTTCTCCGAGGGCCGAGAGGAGCCGCTCAGGGGCTTAGGGCAGAGGGGACTTGGGTTGTCAGAGTTTCCAAGGTCCCTCAGACCCCTGGGCAGCCTGCTCGTGCAGAGCCGGGCAGTGGGCACACACCTGCATCCCAGCATTCGGGAGGCTGAGGCAGGAGGATGATGGTGAGTTGCATGCCACCCAGGATTACATAGTTCAAGGCCAGGCCGAGCTACCCAGGAAGGCTCTGTCTCAGACAAATGGGCTGAGACAGACCCAGCCCACGGCGCCCACCTCTGCTACAGACAGAGCCCTGGACGCCCTGCGCATGACATGCTGACCCGGCATATCACCCTGCACTTGGGCTGCCCGCCTGGAGGTGGCGCTTTGGTACCGCTCACTGTGGCCGAGGTCCCGGACTCCAGGGACCTGGAGGCCGTGAGGCAGTGCCCTGCAGGCCAGCTCAGGCCAGGTTGCATCAGCCAGGACACTCTCGGCCCCTGCCTGGACTCTGCCCACCTGGCCATTGCCCTGGATTCTGGGTGGGGACTCGGCCCATGGACCCTGGTTATGCCACAGCAGGTCACCAAGAGTCTCTTGGGTCAGCCTGGACCCTTAGGGCACAAGTGTCCCCAGGGCCCCTCAGCTTGGCACAGAAGGGTTTCTGAGAAGCAAGGCCTGGTACTCTAGGAGGCTGAGGCAGGAGGATTACAAGTTTACACCCAGCCTAGGCAACTGAGGGAAACCCTGTCTCAGAATGGTTTTGAGGGGTTTTTTTGGTCTTTTTGAGACAGGGTCTCGCTATGCAGTTCAGACTGGCCTTGAACTCACTTTGTAGCGCAGGCTGGTCTCGAACTTACAAAGATCCTCCTGCCTCAGCCTCCTAAATGCTGGGATTACAGGTGTGTGCCACCACACGCCCTCTTGTTGTTTTGTTTGTTTGGTCTTTTCTGTCTCAGAATGAAACATTGTAAAATGTGGGGATGCGACTCAGTGTGAAGTCCCTGATTCAACCCCCAGGAACGGGGGAATCAGTTCCTGAGGCATAACACCCCTGCCCCCGCTTCATGTGCACTCAGATCTTTCAGGGTTTTAGCAGGGGTGAAATAGAGGTCATCCTTATGACCAGTGACCATGGAGCCTATGACCTGTGTGACATTAGCTCTGGTTCCAAGATGCTCAGCACCCCAGCAGGAAACTAGCCACTGGCCACCTCCTCCTTTCTGTCCCTGTCACACACCTTCCTGCCACCTGCCCCATGATTGAACAGCTCCAGAGGATGACACCACACCTGTCCTCCTGTGTCTGCAGCCCATTCCACCCAGGGACACCCTCGGTGCCTCCACACTCAGTCTGGTCACTCTTCAGCGCTGTGTTATATTCTACCATGCAGATGCCCTCAGCCTATGTGTTCTTTATCTGTTCCTCAGTAAATACCTGAGCTGTTCCCCACTTTTGACTCGAAAAAGCCAGGAGTGGTGGTGCACGTCTGTAATCCCAGCACACAAGGGTAAAAAAAATTTTTTTTTTTTTTTCCAGTACCGGGAATTGAACTCATGACCTTGGGCTTGCCGAGCAGGCGCTGTGCCCCTGAGCTAAATCCCCGCCCTCTTTTTTCTTTTTTTGAGACACGGTCTCACTATGTAGTCCAGACAGGCCTTGAACTTAGTGATCCTCCTGTCTCAGCCTCCCAAGTCCTGGGGTTGCAGACATGCACCACTATGCATGCCTTTTGAGTATTAATCCTGCTATGAACACTTGTGGATGTGAGTTTGTGACCAGTTTACCAGATTCTTTCAGAGTTGAGCAGAGTGGTGGCGCATGCCTATAACCTTATCACATGGAAGCCTGAGGCAGGAGGATCACTGTGAGTCCCCAGCCAGCCTGGGCTACATATCTTGTCTCCCACAAGGAATATAAGCACGTACTACACACAGTTTTATTTGTTTTTGTTTTTTGGTACCAGGAATTGAACTCAGGACCTTGCACTTGGCAGGCAGCTGCTGTGCCACTGAGCTATATCCCCCACCCACCACACACATTTTAATAAAATCAACCTAAACCTTACCTTACCTGGGACCTGGTGGTCCCCTCTGGGCCCACACCTGAAGGGCGGGAAGCGGCCTGAACCCGGATCACATACACTGCCCCCCAGCAGGAGCCCCCAGGCCCCCGCGTCCACCCACAGGTGGGTCTGTCTGAGGAAGGAAATTCAGCCCTCAAAAGGGAGCAACCTGACACCCACTGTGTTTCACTGTGTGGCATCAGCCATCCCGAGGACAAGGTGACAACAGTTTAAAGTTCTTTTCTGGGGGGATAGGCTGGCCTTGAACTCGAAATCCTCCTGCCTCAGCCTCTTGAGTGGAAGGAAGTGTTCCAAGAGTGCAGCTCCACCCCAGCTTTTATGTCTGGCTCTAGAACAGCCAGGGCTCCATCTAGATGCCCTAGGGGAGCAGCCAGGGTCCAAAGATAGGCAGGGGCCGGGGAAGCAGAACGGCAGAGCTGGGCTGCAGGCTGGGCTTGGCACCTGCCTGGGAAGGGTTCTGGGTTTGAGCCCAAACGGAGGTAGGGGTGAACAGTGAGGGGTCCATGCGGGGCTCCTTGTACAAGGCAGGGCTCCTCCCTGTGTAGGGCAGGGCTCCAGCCCAGCCCAGCGCACTGCACTCCCCACCACAAACAGCCTGGTACCCGCCCTGGGTTTTTGCTGTTTTCAGCTCTGGGAATGGAACCAGGGCCTTTGCTCTCAGCTCTGTCCCCAGCCCCTTTTAAGTTCTGAGACAGAGTCAAGCCAATTTTCCCAGGCTGGGCTTGAACTTACAACCCTTCTGCCTCAGCCTCCCGGAGTGCTGGGACAGTGGGCATGCGCCACTAACCCCGGCCAAACTGAGGTATATTTTACTTTGTTTTATGTTCTGGTTTTGCAGTGCTGCGGGTGGAGCACGGTCTCTCCTCCTGCAGTGGTGCCTGTCCTCTGCGGGGGCTGCGCCCTGTTTGGGGTGGCACAGAGTCCAAACTCTAGCCTGGCCCTTGGAAGGTCACGCACTGTGGCTCCTGCCCGGGCTGCACCTCAGGGCCTGAGGTGACCCAAGAGCCCGTGACTGAGGCTGCCGGGGCCAGGCCCGCAGACAGCAGAGAAGGCACCACGCCGGCTCCGCCTGAGGCACGGCAGGGAGACAGGCCTGGGGGCAGAGCGCCGGGCTGGGGATGGGCCAGGCCTCCCCGGTGCCCTGCAGTCGATTCCCGTCAGGGCCAGTGGCTCTGTGCTGCGCTGCCCATGACCCAAGGGAGCGGAGGACGCTGGGCCTCTGTCCTCCGTGGGCTCAGAGGGTCTGCATCTGGGCTCGGGTTCTGGAGCCAGGACTCGAACCCAGGGCCATGTCCACACCAAGCCTGGCTCTACCCGGAATGGAGCGCCACCCTGGCCCGACGTTCTCAGGTGAGCGGCCGAGTCAGGCCCTTGTCCTCGGGGGGCCCGCGCCTTGGGTCCCTGTATCTTGGGTCCTTGTGTCTCAGGTCCCCGTGTCTCCTGTCCCTGTGCCCTGGGTCCCTGGGTTCTGGAGCTTGGTCCCAGTTAGAGGTCCTAAAACCAGAGAAGCAAACGAGGAGGCTCCATCCCTAGGAGCCATGGAGCCCGGGAGTGGCCGTGCCAGGTCCCAGCCTGCCAGGGTCACAGCTCCTGGCCAAGGAGCCGGGGCAAGGCCTACTCCTGGCCACAGCCCCAGAGTCTGGCCCTCCAGCCGGGGTGGGGACAGCCGCTCCCAAGGTGGCCCTCATGCTGCTATTTCAGTGTGGGCCCTGTGGCCACCAGGCGGAGGGAGGGACAGAGGTACAGGTCGTGAGCCGTTCCAGCCGGGCAGGTGAGGACAGCAGGCCCCACAGGGTGCCCTGGGGCTCTGGCCCCAGCACAGACCTGGGTCTTGGGTCCCTATGCCCTGAGTCCCCAGGGTGCTCGGCACCCAGCCCTGCCCCAGGCCCTCCCAGACCGGGCTGGCAGTGGCTCGGGGCCTTCTGCGTGTGCAGAGGTGCATGTCTGCTGGTCACCTGCCGGCTGTGTCTGTCCGCTGAGCGCCCTGGT